GTGAGGAGAGTTTTCCCAGCCACAGAGGAAACAGAGTGGATCGGAAGTGTGGTGGGCAGCTTGCGGATCAGTGGGAGATGGGGTTGGAGCCGAAGCTGCCTCTGCCTTCCTAGTCTGGGTGTTTGGTGGGACACTTGGGTGGATGGCCGTGCCAGTCCCGAGGTAGGGAGTGCTGAGCATGGCAGTTAGCGAGGAAGATGATGAGCTCTAAAGGCAGTGGCCGAGATGTGAGATACGTCATGGAGATGTCAGGGGAGCATCTGCTGGTATTGGTCTGGAACTCAGCAAAGAGGCGGGACTGGAGCTACAGCTGAGGAACAGTGAGCACCTGCCAGTAACAGGAGCCATCGGGGAGAACGCGACGCCCCGAGAGAGTACGAAGGGGAAGCCTGAGCGAGGCCCTGACGTTCTAGGTGAGGCAAAGGAGAACTGCGATGAGGCTGAAGGCACACCACCAGAGAGACGGAGACCAGAGAGACGGGGTGGCAGTCTGCATCACATGCCCCGATGGCAGCCAGAGTTCGAATCCCCAGCCCAGTACACACCAGGCACACATGCCAGTGGCCAAGTACAATGGGTTGGAAGACCACGGGAAGGGGGTCGTGGCGTGACCAGACCCTGCTCAGCCCCGTCTCTCTCTCTCTCTCTCTTTTTCTCTCTCTCTTTAATGCTATCTCATACATGCATACACTCTGTCATTAATTAAAAAAAGAATGCTCCTAAGAAAGCAATAAAATAAAGACTGAAAAATCATGTGTAGCATGTGGTGACGTGAAAGTCTTCGTTGTCCTTAGCCGGAAGGAGCTTTGTCACACTACGGTGGGGTGGACTCCCGACTGAGGTGGTGAGGAAGAGCCAGCCTGAGCAGGGCACCTGGGCGTTGTCTCCCGGGTGGCAGTGAATAGGACGTGCTAAGAATCACTGAGCGGAAGGCGGGCAGCAGGTGGCCTAATGCTCACATCGCTGGATTCGCATTTAGTCAACTGCAGTTTGAGTACTAGACTCTGTGTGCACGTGCCCAAGATCCCGAGAGGAGAATGCGGTTAGAAGGGATTGTGGCGTGGCCATCCTCCCTAGGGGGTGACTTTTCCCTTCCCCTCTCGTCATCTGTCTCTCTCCTCTCTGTCTCTCCGTGAGCATATGTGCCCTATACCAAAATCTAAAACAAAAAGAATTACCAGGGAGAGTCACAGCATGGGTTTGAAATGAGTGTCTGCTGACGGGCATGGGTGACGAGAATGTTCTGGAATGGATCGGAGACTGCAGGAAACAGTCGGGAAAGAGGGGTAAGGAGTGACATAGGGGGGCGAGCGGTCGAGGTTCGTGAGATGTCCAGAAGGGGACGGGGAGTGGCCCAGGAGCTGACAGACAGGTCTTCCCGTTCACGGGGAGAGGTCGAGAGGGGCTGGGCGATGTGGCGTGTCATAGATGTCTGGGGTTACTGTCGTGAGCCGAGCCGTGTCCCTCAAAATTCGTTGTGTTCATTGGAAAGTGACTGTTCTTGGACACAGGGCTTTAAAGAGGAGAGAAAGTTAAAACGGGGTCACTGGGGGGCTCTTGTCCAGACGGGTGTCCTTCTAAGTGGAGGAGACCTGGACACAGAGAGAGACACTGGGCACACGTGCACACAGAGGAAGGCCGTGTGAGGACCCTGGG